GTAACAACTATGTATGTAATAATTTTTACTCTAGCTCTAGATTATTTTTGTAAAACTACGGTTACTGATATGCTATTTGTGACATGGATAATGTTTATAGGAAAAATGTCATATATGACGACTATATCATGAAATCGTCGAATAAATAGAAGCGCACATAAACGTTTTCAACACTAAGGAGGTGTTTTCCAGAATATAATACAAAGTATTTTTTGTAAAACACCGATTTTAAACAAATAATTAAAATTGTTGTAGTATTCAAACAAAATAACAATAATTATTCGACTCTATCCACTTACTACTTACTTAGTATTTTTGCACTTGATATTAACTTGACCTTTAAAAATAATGAAAAAATTTTATGTTGATTTTGTTTGTTCATCATAGATTTTTCCGGTAACAGTTTAGAAGCAAAAATATATATGAAAATAGTTATTCTCTCACACAGTCTAGATAGAAGCATGATATGAACTCCAGTGAAAGCAGACACCTAAGCTGCTCGCATTACTGAATAAAAGAGGTCTCCTAGAGATCTTATTAAGAGCCATTACTGTTCCGTAAATCTATAAATGAACAGATGAGCTTCTATTTATTCGAAATGTTGTACTGAGGGGATATGGAGTGTTTAAATGTTTCGTGGCGCAGTGCGGTCGATCAAAATATTATCCGATGACGTGTATATAATGAGCGAATTAGGGAATGAGACAAATGAGAAATAAAAAATCGATTATCTCGACCAATCATTACCGAGCAAGTGCAGAAGACTGGTGGTTATGTACAGGACGAAAGACATTTTAACATATACAGAGAGTGTTTTAGCTAATAATATTGTCCGCGGATGGGCACTTTTATTTTTACGAATCATTAACAGTCAACAAGGGTACACCAAATCGCTTTATAGCTTCTCACTTGCCCGGGCTGTTTACAGTTACACTAACCCGCAATATCCAAAAACTATGACACTTCAAATAGTAGACCAATGCAAAGATTTTAAAGTAAACATAAATACATAGACATCGAATCAAATTGTACCTCACAACAAAAGCATAAGAAAGAGGTATAAGTATTTAAAGTATGTAAAGATTAGCAATTTTCCGTAAAAAATCGTTTTGATTTGACAAATGCCGTTTAGGATGTAGTAATCGACTTTTTTAAAACATCTCTAGTAAGTTATGTCGAAGGCACTGAATCCAAATATATTCTTTTTCTCCGAAAATGTTTAATTGTTGAAATATCTTTGTAAAAAATAGCAAAAATGTTAATATTTTTGAAATACCTACAAAATCATTTTTTTTAACATTTTCTGGTCAAGTTGACGCTGATTACGAACTACAACATTTTTGTCTGTCACATTTTTGCGAACTAACTTTTATGTGCGAAGATATTGACAGTCAAAAAACAGTTTTAAATTCCCAAATGTCATCTAACCTCTAGATTATCCAGTGTGTATTACACCTCTCTCCAATCATCATTTATGAAATTTCTGCTTCTCATAGCATCTTCCACTGCTTTGTTCCAATTATGCCTCTGTCTCCTTCAATGAGCTGGCTTCCATTTCCATATTTTCAAAGGCTATCTATCTTCTGACATTCGCCTTAAGTGACCGGACCACTTTGGTGTTTTTACTTCTACGGTATCCATTACACCTATATCAACCTCAGATCTCTTACTTCTTTATTAGCAACTCGGCTCAACTTAGTTAATCTGCAAATTCGACGCCAAAAGACATTTTCATTAAGTTTTCTTACCATGTAGTGGGTAGCTTCTTCTTTGGCACCTACTAGAATAGCCTGGAACAGTATGTCTTTGATATACTTATAGGAATAAACTCGACATTGTAAGATGTGCTGTTATGGCTACACAGGTATTATTAGCCCATTTTTTCACTATTTAATTCCTTTTGCCAACTTCGAAATTATGGATATCGGGGTTTTTCTAAAGAAGTTAATTCTTTTATATCATCATTAATATTGACTTTATCTTAATGTCGACTTCCCTAATTTGTCCATAAGTTTCTATTTTGGGTCTAATCAATCTGGTCTGATCTAGCAGTCTCCAAACAAGTCTTATTTGGCCTTCTTCTTATATATCTAACATATACTTTAATTTAGGCGATTCTTCGTATTCGGTAGCAGACCTAGACTAGGCTAAGATATTTATTTTTAATTTTATTCCTTTTTGTCACTTAACTCATCTATTTAAGCATTTTGATTTCTGCACAAGCACTTGTTCTTCTTTCTTTATAAAAAATCAGAGTAATGTATCACAGTTGTCTTATAGAAAATTTTTCTTTGCATTTCGTTTGAATGTTTCTGTTACTCTTGACACTGCTCCAGTCTTTGTTCGAATTCCTTTTCAGTATATTTTACCAGCACATCATCAGCCATCAGCATTAAACCACAAGGAATGTCACCTTTGAATTTCTGTTAGCTGATCCAACACTAATGAGAATCGATGAGGGCTAAACATGGTTTTCTTAGAAATTTATTAATGTCTTATACATCTGTCGTAACGCTAGTTCTTGCTCCATCATAAACATGTCACACAAGTTTTACATACTCACCAGAATATCTTTTATATACACTTCTTAGTAGGATCAAAAGCTGTATGGATCATGTTATATGAGACAAAAGCAATGTGAAAGTGTTTAAATATGCGTAAGTATATGTTATGAATTCTTTATTCTTTTTTGTAGAGTATATCCTTTAATTTTTTACTCCGTTTTAGTCATTGACTATCTAATTTGACTTCAAGGTTCTATATCGTATTGTATTGTTCATATTTTTCGAACTTTCTTTTAATTTTTCTTCCTTTGCAGTTTTTAATCTGCGTTCTCATTTTATAATAAATTATTCTCGGTATGTATTCCACAAAACCCAAAATATTTGACGTAATGTTTTACATTGAATGTTTAATATTTTATGTTCTTTAAATGTAATTAGTTTTACTTATGAGTAGATAGTAAGCTACTTCATCACACTTGAACGTGGACGCACGTCCAATTTCCATGACAAATGTCACATATTATGTCACGAGTGCACGCGTGTCCACAGGTGACATAATATATGACATTTGACATAAAACGTGACGCAATACCTGACATGTGACATAAAACCATGCGTTACCGATTGTTTCAATTACCGTGGCAATGATAATTTTGTTTATTGCTATTTTGAAAAGTCTCGAAGTAGATGGGTCCTCCAGAACCAGGTCCTCAACTACCTTTTCCTATACTTCTCATACGCTGTCCTTTTGCTTACAGATTTCATTTCAGTAAGGTATATTTGGCTTAGTTTCTCATTTTAGGTCCCCAATATTACAATTATTGTTGTCTATATTGTTCCTTTTTATAAAGTTTTTGTAGTTCTCTGTCATTTGATAATTTGTCCGTCCATGGTACAATAAGAATTATTTTATAAGTCTACGTCAAAAGTCCCTAGTTTTTCGCTGTTGATTTAGTCAGGGGCCAAGACAATGCTTTATATAATATGATTAAGAATATTTAGCATCGCAGTAATCGTATTTCCAGTTTCAAACAAAAATTCCGTGAATTAAATAGCTTGGACTTTTGAATGAATGCTGCTTTTGCTTTTTTAATTTTACCTTCCATATTTGCGAATGGTCCCACTGATTATTTAATTAGACACTGCAAAAAATGTGTATGTGGACACTCGTTCGACTACGTTCTCATTCATCATCATCATCATCGGTGCTACAGCCCTATAAAAGAGCCTCGACCTTCCCAAGTCTATTACACCAGTCAGTTCTATCCATTGCCAACTGTGGCCAGTTTGCTGCGCTTATTTTTCTACCAACCTCATCTAAACCATCCCTCCATCTGAGTTTTAGCCTACCCCTACTTCTACTTTCCACAGGTTGTGACATAAGGATTCTTCTAGGAGGGTTGTTCTGCTGTGATCTTGCCAGATGCTCTACCCATCTTAGTCTTCCTATTTTTATAAGAGATTACACGTTGGTTCTCTTAAGAGAGAAACGTTCTCATTGATGGTAAATTGTATGATCAATTTTTTCTTTGTTGATTGACTTGTTTTTTAATGATAAGATCCGGGTCAGATTTTCTTCGATTACTTTGTTCATAAAAACTTGTAGTCCCTGCGCAGTTTATCAAAAATGATGGTATCATACGCGGAACTGAAATTATTTCACCTTTTTATATGTAATTTAATATAATTATTTTATTCATTTGACCTAAAGTATCTTAGAAAATTGTTGCCGAGTACATATCGGATATAAGATATATATAAGACATAAATGCTCGTTAGTTATTACAAAGAGAATAAATAAAGTATCTTAGATGACCATGTGTTACCTAGGACACCATAAATCTTAACAAACTAAGAATGACGTTGCTGACAATTATTTCGTATTTCGAATACAAATCTGTCATGTTTTGCTTGTGATACTTCAATCTTTATCATTTGTCTTTGAGTTTAAATTCTTATCCTTTTGCATCAACGATTTTTATCCGTATTTGATTTTTTTAGTCAGCTTTCACTTTATTGAAAGACCTCTTTATTGTACTGTTGTTAATGTTGTAGGTGTAATTTAAATGCTATAGATTATGGTCTAACATCATAATTATTAAAATTTCTATAACTATGAAGTTAATTGGACTACTACCTGAATTAAATTTAAATAATAGATGATAAAGTCATGTTTTTAAAAGATTATCAGTATTTTGTTTACTTGTTTACTTAATCCGATAAACAGTTGAGTAATTCTACATAAAATAGACAATTAAAGCGGGCTGTAATCTGTCAAATTCACATTATTGTCAATTTAAGACCAAAAATATCTACTTCTTAACGTAATCTCACTCTGTTCTTATAATTCAAATTGTACCGAATTTCTTTCATCTTTTGAGCTTGCTAATATTTCAAAATCTTTAGACAAAGTCAAAAATATGTTTGTTCTTAAAAAGACAGAATGAATGCTATATCACACCTAGTTCAATAGTATCACTTACGTCTTATAGTTCCTCACAGTATTATGGTATAACCGATTGGCGACCCATTGATAAAAAAGGCAGAACGTTTTACTAATGTGTATAATTCTTTAAGACAAGTATAAAACAAATTAAACATTATGGATATTTATTGCATGTATTATTGTGAAATGCTGTTAAAGATAAAGTTAAAAGTTAGATACCACATAAAATATACATCTGCAATTATCAAAATTTTGAATATATATATTAAAAAAATCACAAGTTTTTACTCCTGATTTCCATTCCAGAACTTGTTTTAGAATTCCATTAGACCGAAAACAATTCTATGGCAGAGAAGATTAAATCTAGGATGACAGCGTTGGCAGTGGGTACACAAAGAAAATCTTGTAGCTAAATGATGAATAAACGCCCAGAAGGTGGGAGAGAAACATCCTCAGAAAAAAATATGGACTAGTTAGAAACGGTGAAGAATTGAGATTAAGGAGAAACTAGAAACTGCAGCTGCTGTTCCGGAAAATCAGATTTGATGACTACGATAAAGAAAATGCGGATAAGGAGGGTTAGTCAAGTACAGAGAGAGCGAGGAATGAAAAAATCATCAAGAAAAGGGGGTGAAGAATGGATATAGTCGTACAGGAAACAACGGAGAGATGTCGTGAGGTAGGTCGATATACTCCAAGGCCTATAGCCCCATGGGGTAATGTAAGATAATTTCTCTCTACGCACTTTACCTGTCAATTAGTTTTTTTAGGTCTACTGCGAATCTTCCTTTAACTCCCAATATTTCTATCATTCTTTCGTTCGTTGTTCTTCATATTCTGCATATCCCTGCCGATCACCACTATAAATTCATTTCTGTGCCTCTGAAGATATTCTCCGCCTATGATTTATAGGGCTATGCATAGGCCATAATATTTTTAATTATTGTATTATATATTTTTTGTTTGTTATATTTTGTAATGGTTTGGTCCCATAATAAGCCATTTACGCTACCTATTATTGTTATCTGCCCAAGTCTATTTGTTGGCTTGATAGTCGCCTTCAAAGTTCCTTTCTGTGAGATTATTACTCTAAATGGTTACATTCCGTGCGGGATCTTATTTCTTGATCATTTTCCTCTAATAACAAATTTGTTAAATATTGTATTTATATTCTACTTTCCATTCGAAAATCGTTTTTAAAATAAATTTTATAAATTAAAAATTATGTTAAGGCTGTTTTATCGGTGCACCAAAACCTAGGGACATGTTTTCTCGGTTTTTTACCGACAAAATGTCTCGAAATTTGGACACGTTATTCGAAATTATGTTGCCTTTAAAATGATGTTTTACTTTTTTTATTTTTTTTTAAACTTCTGTTGAAAAGTTTGATTATACTGTTTAACGTTCTATTATAACCAAACTTTTTACGCCCATCACTTGAAAGTTTTTTTCTGTAATCGTTGATTTTTTTTCACCTTTCTGTGTACAGTAATAATCGATAAAAGCGTGTTCCAACTTTGAAGAAAATTGCTAAAAAATACTAAAATCTAATATTGAAACGTGTTACTCATCATTGGCGCTTAGTTTTATCGTTATCGCCTTCATGACGTCAAATATCATGAACGTACGGTCAGTTAGTTCGTGTTAAAACTCATTTGAATGGAGAATAATGCATTTGTTGTCATTAAACTACCCGTCGGCCGGCGACACTGAATAATGATAGTCTGGCGTAAGCAGTGTAGAAAAGTAAGTGATACGCCCATTTCAAATCGCAGTGTGTTTTAACTGCTAAAACAGCCTTAACTGTAGATGTTTTTATTAACTGACGCTTTGAGCCAATTTGACAAGATGAATCCGTTCAACACCATTTATCAGGCAGCAAATTTTCCTGATGATTGGCTGCTCTCTACATTCATAGCATTACCAACGAAAAGATATCCCAAAAACTGCGAAGTTGAAGATCTTTCGATACATTATGCACGATTGAATATATCCATTGAGCCTTGAACATCAGCTGCACGAATTTCTTGGATTAAGGAATGGACTTAAAAGCACTATTCAGAAACCAATTCATACAGCAGGAACGTAGATTGTTATATTTGTCTGCTTTATATATTACAAAACAGCTTTCCACAGAGTAAACTTAACGATATTCTCAGAAAAACAGGTATATTAGGATAATGATCTGAGGATCATAGGATATTTATATACACAATAAAAAGACATCGTTGAAGTTGACAATAGTTATTCCGTAACCTTTAATATCCAGAGAGGAGCTCGACAGGGTTGTGTTTCGTCACCCTGTTCAATATTTACTTTAAATACCTATTTAACAAGGCGATGGCAAATACTGAAGACGAAATTTTGGTCAATGAGATATTAAAGAATAATTTCCGATAGGCTGACGGTACTGTTCTTCTTTCTGATACTGCAGAAGACCTTCAAAGGTTAATTAACCGAACCGAAATGACTAGCAGAAATTTTGGAGTGAATCTTAATATTAATAAAATGAAAATGATGATAATCACCAAAAACCTTAACGTGCGCTACCATTTCTTTATACACGATGAACACTAGAAAGAATCCAAAACTTCACATACCTAGGGTGCAACTTAATTGAGGATTGGGATCACTCTAATGACATTAAACTTCGAGTACTTAACTGTTGTATTCTCAACTCTCCTATATGGAGTAGGGGGCCGGGTAGACGACGAATCTCTTGGCTGAAAAATCTAAAGCAGTGGACGAGTACAACATCCTTCAAACCGCTGTAAACAAACTTATGTGGGCCAGAATAATCGCCAACTTTCAATGAGGATATGATACGAAAAGAAGAAGATACTTACTGACTGGTCTTTTGATAGATAAAGTGGGCCTGAGAGCCATACAAGTTTTAGATTACGAAATTGGATCCCGTTAAACAAAAAGTATATATTCTATCAAAATACTAAGTAACATCGCTTTAACAGTGAAAGTCCCAAAATTAATATTGGAGCAATTAGAATACAATTATATTGTATACAATTGATATTAAACTATTCTGAAAACTAAGCAGTTGTATTTTATGTGTTTGTAAACTGATCTTTAGCTGCCAACGAAAGCTTATCTACAAAGTTTTAATAAAAAATTAAGTAATAGTCATAAAACATCTGGATTTAGGCAGTGTTCGATTTTCTTTCGAACCTGTATTTTGGAGCAATGAGGTGAGTTTGGCCCCTTGTTAAATGAAAATATTGCATCTTTGTTAGTATTCGTTAAAAAGTGTTTAATATTTAAAAATAAAAATGTATGACTACTCTATTCGTATTCATCAATGCATCAATAAATCATTATGTATCTGCCCATTTGCCATTACATTTATCGTTATGAAACAAGGTAATATTAATTAAACTGTGTCAAACAACCTCTGTCAATTTTAATTTAAAAGATTTTTTGGTCTGTGACTCCGTTATTATCAACTTCTCATAGAATCTCTAACATCTGTAATAATACCGTGTTTTTGTAATTAATAAATACAAGTGTAATGTATTTAATATAAATTGATCTAATTGGTGATTAATTTTTTGTTACAGCTTGTATATTAAAATAAACATTAACATACAATAAGTTCTTTAACAACACTTCACAAACAAATTCCACCAAAACTATTTAAAAAAATAAAAGATCATCGGTAAGACATAGATGGAAATTATCTTGAAAATCCAGCAAAGTTTACCGGATTTCGTTTACATAAGATCGCACTTATCTTTGGCAACCCTGCTGTTTGCTTTGCCTCCAATTTGAAGGCTTACATTGCGTGACTTTTCCAAATTAAGAAGTTCTTGGAACAACTGTTTGACATTGTGGTTGGTCTTCGCAGAAGTCTCCATAAAACTGACGCCCCATTCAGCTGCCTGTGCTTGGCCTTCAGATGTAGTCACCTAAAATGAAACTTGGATAAAAGCAATCGAAATTTCAATCTGGCTTCAACTCTACTCTATGGATTGGAAGCCAACGTTTATTAGTAAAATATAAACCGTTGCAATATGCATAAAAATGAATTTTAGTTAGTATCGTACTATTAAACTATACAAATTTAGTACAGTTTAATCGTACGATTAACCTGTACCGCAGAAAAAAAGAAATTGTGTTAGTACCGGTATGTTGATGAGACTTTTGTGATCTGCATCCATAGACAAGTTGAACTTATAAATTTCTTCAATGTCATAAACTACCTAAACCCTAAGATCCAAATCACAGTCTAAAGTCTAAAGGAAAACTTGGACATAGAGCATACCGAAAACAACACACGCATCAATAACGGGCCATTATTTCAACAACTCGAATCACTACCCTAAATAACAGACCGGACTTATAAAAACCTCAACTGATCGAAAATGTGAACCTTATTGTTTGGGAAAAGAATTGAAAGATCTTAAAAAAGAGTTGGGACAGAACACTTGTGATCAAACAGACATCAATGACCCTGTACAAAAAGAGACAACGGAAACCATTTTGGAGCCATTATCAAGAGGGATATGGTTCCGTTCGAATTCGAAGTCTGCCTACTTCCCTCACTCGTGACGTACCATTATCTTGTTCTGTAGAAATATAAGAACCGTCAAACGGCACTAAGGTCTTAATCTGCCTACTCCTCAGTGTCGAATAACGACCGGTCTTATCCTGTGTAGCTGCTATTATACAGTATGCGCAGAAACGGTTTGAACGGGATTAGTTGGGGAGGGGGGTCGCTGAAGCAGCGGTCGATGGCTTCACGAATAATTGTCAATTTTAAGCAACGGATAGGAGCGATGGTTTTTAACTTTTTCGAAATCTATTTTGTGACCTGTCTGAATATGATGTTCGGCTAGAGCTGAAGTAGTATCGGAATGTTTTACAGTTATAGAATGTTTGTAAATACGGTTTTGGATTCGCGGTTTGTCTGTCCTATGTATATGCATGCACAACTGAATCAAGCTATCTCATAGACACCATGGTCTTCATTGGGGATTTGGTTTTTTACGAATCTGACGAAATTGGAAATAATAGAAATAATAAATTGGAAAATTGGAAATTGGAGTGAGTAGTGAAGATGGTTTTGATGTTTAGAGGGTTAAGAGTTCTACTGATCTTGTCAGTAACACGTTTGATAAAAGGTAGAAAGATTTTGGGTTGATCAGACGACAAGGTTTCTTTTCTGGAATAAATGGAGTTTAGATGTTTTTGAATGATCCTATTGATTTGGGTTTTGTGGTAGCCGTTTTGTAAGAGCGTTTGCCTTATTGAATTGATTTCGGGTGATCTGTGATTATCGTCGCTAAGTCTTATTGAACGGGAAACAAGAGTCTTGATAAATGAACTGAGTTGAGCGGGGTAACTGGGGATTAGGATAACGGTTTGATGGGTGGGTATATGGAATTCGAAAAATTGTGAGTTGGGCGTTTCTCAAGAAGAACATCAAGGAATGGCAAAGACGCCTAATACTCAACTTCCATCATGAATTGAATACTGGTGTTTATTCCATTCAGGTGAGAGAGGAAGAGAGAGAGGTGAGTTTAAGCTTTGATGTACAGTACAGCCTCCATAGTTACTGTTAGTGTACTCCTCAAAGCACCTGAAATTACAAGGCAAGCAAGTCTTTGAAATTTATTTAATTTGAGTATGGCACTTATCTGCTGCACCTTTGCACATCATACCACTAATACATATGTCTTATCATCTGATTCCAAATAAGCCTTGAGTCTATTACCCCAAGTTACTTGACTTCACTCACCAGATTTTACACCTCTTAGGTTTAGAGAACCTATCTCCAAATTCCTCTTCCTGGTAAATTTCATGATTTCTGACTTATGTTTCATTTGAAGTGCATTCTGTAACTACATTCATACCCTGGTGCATTTTATCTTCGACTGTGCCAATGAATTTGATGTGAGCTAAGATGACCAGGTCATCCGCGAGCTATTTATGCTAAGAACATCCCGGAATGATCTACCCCAAGAAAAAAAATTGATTATAGTTTTGTTTTCAGAAATCAAGCACACATCTTGACAATTATAAATGAAGAAAAAAGAAACATACACCCGATGCATAAATACCGGTATGCTACTCAAGCAATAGAAATGTGTACTCCGACGCACATGACGTCATCTACGAAGCAACAGTACAGGTTACTACGGTGTTCGAGATGTAGGATTCCCTGTCCCGGTAGATGTATTTGTTCATCACGCGGTAGATGAATTGTTTTTACAAATTAATCACCCCTGTGCTAAGTCTTAATATTTTTGTTTTTGCAGATCCTTCACCTTTTTTGCTTAACCTTGGAAGAAGATAAGCACTATTTAGTATTCAGGTTATGGTACAGAGATGCAGAAATGTCGGATATCCAGTTTATATGTGTTTTATTGACTTTGAGAATCCCTTTGATCAAGTAAAACATACTGAAATGATAGCATTATTAAAAAATCTTTACTAGCATCAACGTGCAAACATCAGGATTGGCCGGGACACTTCTGAAGAGCTTCAAATACGAAGAGAAGTAAGGCAGGGCTGCATTTTGTCGCCGCTACCATTTAACATCTATTCTGAATTCGTTTTCAATAAAGCAGTAGATAATGTTCAATGTGGTATAAAAATGAATGGCATCAATATTAATAATTTGAGATATGCGGATGACACAGTGTTAATTGCAAGCAATTACGAAGACCTTCAACATCTAATTCATAGGATTACCACAACGTGTGATGAATATGACCTTAAGCTAAACACCGCAAAGACAAAGGTGATCGGTTAAACGCCATTACAACTGGAAGTGATAACAGCTGCTTATGGTGAACAGCTAGAGAGAACTAACAGTATCACTTACCTTGGTTGTAATCTAAATAAGAACTGGGACATGAGCAAAGAAATTAGAATACGGATAGAGAAGGCCAGAGCTGCATTCTTTAAGATGAAGAAACTGTTATGTGGAAACAATATTACTTTAAGTCTGAAAATTAGATTAGTGAGATGTTATGTGTTCTCTAATCTTTTGTATGCTGTCGAAGGTTGGACTTTGACGGATATACTTCTCAAGAAACTGGAAGCCTTTGAAATCTGGGTGTATCGGAGAATCCTACGAATAAGTTGGATGGATAGAGATCGTAACTAAGTTGTTTTGCATCGGATGGGAAAAGTCGTCAAAACAGTTAAAAATCGCAAACTTGAATATGTTGGCCATGTTATGCGCCACAGAGAGATATAATATACTCCATTTAATAATACAAAGCAAGGTAGACAGAAGAAGAGGGCCAGGTCGAAGAAGAACGTCATGGCTTAGAAACCTGAGAGATTGGTTTAACAGATCCTCTGCATCTCTTTTCCGAGCTGACGTCAACAAAATTACTATAGCCAATTTATAATACCCATAAAAACATTGTAAACTACACATCTTAGAATATAAAGTGCAAAATATGCATGCTTATATATATTTGATTGCCTATATATTTAATATTAGGCTACTAACAGGGCAAGCGTTAGTGTTCTAATAGAAACTTTGCTTAGCACATGACGTCACACAGTGCAAGAGAGATAGAGCTAGCGTGCGCAATAGCATACCGGTATTTGTGTATCGTGAAACATGCATAAATAATTTAATTAATCCTACCTCTCTCAGTTCAGCGCTCTCATCACACTTATTCCCTGTCAGCATAATTGGAATCTGACTTAAATCTGGTCCTTTAAGTTCCCTGATGACTTCGAAAATTGGTCGCAGCTCTTCCAAACTTTGGCGGCTGCAAACTGAGTAAACAAGTATAAAGGCATGGCCCTTACTAATGGATAATCGTTGCATTGCTGGAAACTGGTGGGAACCAGTTGTGTCGGTAATCTGAAGTGTGCATATATTTTTGTTGCAACTTATGACCTGCAAAAATTCAATTTCAAATATTTATTTTTCAAAAATATGTTTTTTAGATAGTTTTAAAAAATAATCTGTTGGAAATACTAGAAAAATATACCTGATACTCAATACTTTATACTTTCACGTCCGCCACATATTTTACACCTCTGAAAATTGTATGTCTGCATAAATGTGGCTAATCTATGTGTCTAAAATATTTACAGCTAGCTTCCGGTAAAAGTAGAACGTGTTATCAAGGAAAACCCATATATTATTATATTTTTATACGCTACATACAATTATGGACAGATTTCATATAAGTTACCTTTTCAAAAATTTTGGTAACCAGACAATGATTTTGATTACTGATTTTTTTAAAGGTGTAGGTACACACAAATAGTATGTATTATTTTTTCAGGAATTCACATAGGGCTACATGGTTACCTCGCTTCCCAACTTAATGCCCCTGATGTTTTAATATGTGTTATGAACACCATAAACCAATATTTACATAAAATTTTAATTAGTACCATTATTTACCCAAAAATAATAAAATGTTAACATTTTAGTGTTTTTTTATTATGTGCAAAAAATAATTCATATATAACAAATATTCGTCTTTAATTAATAAATAAATAATAAGGACTCCACAAAAAATAAATAACTTTAATCAATGAAGTATTTTAAAAGATTTAAAAAAAAAATGCGAAAATTTACAAATTAATAACAATATGAATTGTAATTCTTCAAAATGATTACCGCCTTGTTGAAGACAAAGTGTTGCTCTTTTTGAAATATGTGTTAAAGTAAGTTGTTTATTATGGTTTCAATTTCCCACTTCGGAAATCGTTCTTAAAAAATACACACATTAGTAAATTAAACAATTTTTTTTTTGTTACTTGGTGAAAAAATTCTTCTAATAATTTAATTTTATCTGACTCATTTATATTGACAATTCAGACATACATTATACATTTTAAAGTAGAGGACTTTAAAATGATATTGCCAAAATTTTTGAGTTGCGTTCCTGGGACTACTTTACTTGTAAGATAGTTCATTCGATTGTATGAAATCAACTTTAACTTGAGAATATCTGTCAGAAAAAACAACTGCATGCCATGATGACCGTAAAATTCTCTTGTTAATGATTCCATAGTAAATCATGAGGAAAAAACAATATAATACAGAATATATAATTTCACAATATGACAACAAAATTAAATATCTAATAATAAACAGACCTTATACAAAATTACCAGAGGATCCAACAAAGCCTTTGGAAAACAGAATATAGAGAACTTTATTCGAGTATACAGATTGATTAATAAGTTATCAAAGAAGATTAATTACACCTCATTACAGTAAGGCCCCTCATTTTTATGGAGTACCAAAAGTTCATAAAACGAATATACCACTTAGACCCATTTGCCACTTAGTACCATGAATTCTCCTTGTAGTGAACTATCAAAATTTTTATTAAAAATATTATATTTTATTAAATGACACATTTATAAAAAATACACATTTTTAAATAAATTATCAAATATTGAAGTTAATTCAAATAATATTTTGGTAAGTTTTGACATAAATAGTTTATTTACGAATGTACCATTAGATAAGACTTTAAATATAGTCAAGACAAAATTAGAGAGTGATGATAGTAATAATACTAAATAATACATATTTTCAATTCAATAATGAATTATATAGAAAAAAATTTTGGCCTAGTAATGGGATCTAGTTTATCTCCATTATTAGCTGCTATATTTATGGAAGATTTTGAAACAAATATTATTTCTAAACAAAATTTAAAACCCACAGTATGGTGGAGATATGTAGATGATGTATTCTCAATATGGTCTCATAGATAAGAGTTATTGGACATATTCCTGAATGATATAAACGATAAAGAAGAGACAATAGCATTTGCCATGGAAAATGAATGTAATAACACACTACCTTTCCTGGATGTTTTAATCTCTAAGAACGATACTAGATATGAGACACAGGTGTATAGAAAACCAAGACACAGAGACATACATATAAATTTCAAAGCAAATCACATTAATAATATTAAAAAGGGAATCATTAAACCCTTATATGATAGAGCCAAAATTGCTTGTTCTAATGAAAATTCGTTCTTGAAGGAAAAACATTTGTTAACATTTGTTTTATTGAAAAATGATTTTCCTTTATCGCTTATAAATAGGGAATTTTCAACAATCAACTGAATAGAACAGAACAACTTAAAACGAGATCCAGAATACACAAGGAATAATGCGAGGAAAATAACAATACCATACATAAAAGAATTATCAGAAAAACTTAAAAGGATAGGAAATAAATTCAACATTTCAACAACATTCAAAACAACAAACACATTAAGATCTATTTTGTCTAAAACCAAAACTAACAATGAACAAGAAAGGACAAAGATTTGTATTTATAAAATACCTTGTGAGTGCGATCAGTTTTATTTAGGTGAAACATCAAGGCCATTAAATGTTAGAATAAGTGAACATCAATCTCATATTAAAAATAGAGAATTTGATAGATCTCAAATATGTAAACATGCATGGAATAATGAACACAGGGTTCAATGGAATGTTTTAATAGTCCTAAAAGGAACGGATGGTAAAAAGAGAAAAATCTAAGAAGCGGCCCTAATTGAATTGAGAATTAAAAATGAGTCCAATTGTGTCCCAAATTCCTCGGCAGAATGTAGTAGGATCTAGTTGCCGATATTAAAAGACGAGGTTATTAAAAGGAAAATACCAGTATTAAGTCAGTAACATATCGAGGATACATCATTTACGATTTTTAAACAACAAACATATAAAATCAGAATTTGGTGTTTATTGAGAGTAAACTAAATGTAAGACCAAATACTTACCATGTCAGGATTGTATTATGAGGTTTTTTCCTGGTTTTTCACTCATGATATACTATGGAATTACTAACAAGGAATTTTACTATCATCATGGCATGTGGTTGCCTTTTTAAAGATGAATTACATGCTATGATTTTTTCTGAAGGATATTCTCAAGTTAAAGTTAATTTTATGTAATCGAATGAACTATCTTACAAGTAAAGTCAGCCCAGGAACACAAGTCAACAATATTGGCAATATCATTTTAAAGTCATCTATTTTAAAATGTATAATGTATGTCTAAATTGTCAATATATATGACTCAGATAAAATTAAATTATTAGAAGAATTTTTTCACCAAGTATCAAAAAAACAATTTGTTTAATTTATTAATGTGTGTATTAAGAACGATTTCCGAAGTGGAAATTGAAACATCAATAATCTTACTTTAACCTGTAATTGTGGCTTATTCCCATTTAAATAGTAATTACTTTAAAATGTCACAAGAAAATAACTTCAGAACAATATCAGCATTATAAACTTTGGTTGTTAAATATCCCCAAACATGGTAATCGATTGGATTAAAATCCCATGATTGTCCATCCCATGAAGACCAGACATGAGGACTGCCTCTACTAATCCATCTATTGAGAAAATTGTTGGATAAAAATTCTTTAACTATTCGAATGTAATGTGGTGAAACACCATCAAGTTGAAAGTATATTCTACCTGTACTGATACTTTCATCATCTAGCAGTACTGGTAAAATATTTTCTAAAAAATCTAAATAAACTTTACAGGTTAGGGTGAGGTAAAATATTATTATTTAATTATTAATTTGTTATCAAATATGCCACACAATACAGTAACAGAAAATTTATGCTGTGAGTGGCATTGCCTTGTGGTAAGTAACTGGATTTTGCTCTGCTCAAATGTGAGTTCCTGAGATATATGTATACCCAATCTCTTATAAATTTTGTTTCATTTGTGAATAAACATCTGTTTCTTCTTCTTCGCGTGCCATATCAGAACTATCCAACGTTGGCGATCACCATTGCAAAGGCTTCTCAATCTTCTGCAATATGGAATAATTGTCCTGCATTTGGTATCTGAGTCCATTCACAAATGTTTTTTAGCCAAGAAACTTGTTTTCTTCCTACACCTCTACAGCCCTCTATTTTGCCTTTAAGGATCAGTTGTAAAATTTTATATCGACTTGCCCTTACTATATGTCCCAGATAAGACATTTTTTGATGTTTGACAGTCTTAAACATCTCTGTAAACATCTGTTTACAATCCTTGAGTTTCGGGTGATCCGCCTACTAAAATCTATTCAGAGTATTTCATCTCCTAGTATCAATCTTTGTACTTCCTGTATATGGTAAGGATGCCGATTATTCTTCACCAGACAATGGTATGCGGAATTTGCAGAGCATGACTAATTCTTTGGACTCCCTTTTGGATTATTCTTAATTAAATTTAGAATATTAACTTATATTTCCATATAGAATATTTCCATATTAACGTTTTGCCTTTTATTATGTTCATGTAGTATTTTGGAAAGTATCAGTATCTTCTGGAATAATCATACACCTTTTCAAAAATTTGATAACTTGGTATTCTCGTTGAGGAAACCTCATTTCATAGACTACCCTATAAACAGCTCCCTAACTTTCGCGTGATTGGTCACAGCATAAGAGATATCTATTGGTCGGCATCTTCATCTGATTTTGAATTTTTTAAGGTTATGTATATCTCTGTTTGGCGGTTGTTTGGCCACATTTGGCGCTTAAACATCTATGATTAGGCGGTTTTATACCAATTTGCCAATAAGCAAGCACACAGAAAATTTCAATTTAAATTTTTCTCATTTATTTTTAAAAATCTGTTCGTTAGAACACCATATTTAATGACCTAAGACATTAGCAAGCAATTATGGATTCTGTCTATCCATCTACTTCAACAAGTTGTGAAATTAACTCAGGAGCCTGCCATCTTTGCAGCAAAATATTAAAAAATGTGGAATTACGAAATCGTCATATCAAAAGAATACATAACATAGATATGTCGATTAAGAAAATTAATCACATGATTTGTCCCTTATGTGAACAAGAAACTAATTTCAAAAGCCATGAGAACTTACGAAAACATCTAAAGGAGAACCACCAGGTGAGTATTGAATTATTAACTTTTGAATTTTCTAGTTTACAAGAATATGAGACATGGAAAGACATGCAGAAATTTGAGACAAGTTATAGAATAAATAGAGTTGTTCATAAAAATAAACAGAAGACAATATACTATGACTGTAACAGAAGTAACATCACAGGTAGGTGCAATACTTTGTTACTTGTAATACTTAAAACTTATACTAAGCTATATTTAGGATATAAGTCCAACTATAAAATTAGGACAGAGAAATCTGGTGGATCAATTAAAATTAAAGGAGTGTGTCCCTCCAGGATGATTTGCAAACTGAGAGATCAAGGACAAGTTTCAGTCAGTTATTGGAAAACACATGCTGGACATCAAGAGGAATTAAGAACCATGCATCTGTCAAAAGCAGAAGAAAAAATGATTGTAGAGAAGTTAACGTCTGGGGTGCCATTTAGAAGAATTTTAGAAGATTCAAGAAAATCAGGAACACCAGAACTAGAAAGGCTTAGCCTATTGACAAGTAAAGATCTTTCAAATTTGTCCAGGAAATATAATACATACAAGAAACGAGATCAGAATGATATGGTAGCAACAGCTTTAAAGGTTCAGGAATGGAATTCTAACAACAAGAATTATGCTTTCTTATTTAAGCAGGAAGGTAAAGACCAATCATTTTTTTAGGCCTACTACAATTATAATTAATCCTATACCAAATTTGACTTGTGTGAATTGTTGTCACTTGACTCATGTAACAAACCTTACTCTTAGCAGAATCAACAAAATCCCTTTTTATGAAACATTCAATATACTTTTTAAATAATATATCTCTTAAGATTGTATTTATTGGTTTTTTACATTAAAACTAAGTTTGTAATGGAGGTGCTGATTTATGGGGCAAATTTACTAGTTTTTTATTTTACTAGACAACCCTTTTTGGTTCTTAGTCTGTTTAAGAATACTTCTCCATTCTGATCTATTTCATACTTTGCTCTTCCAGTTTTTGATTTTTTAAATTTTCATGTTTTGCTTTATTTGTTCCTTATAATATCCAGATCCTGGTATTCCCTTCATAGTTAAAATGTATTATCTTCTTATCCACATACAATTTTCTGTTACTGGTTTATATATTATGTGACTCAACATTTGTCTTTCAGAATGAGCCTATTGGCTTTCTTTACTTTTAGTAAGTGTGCATTATTACCAAACCTTTGTTGTTCAATTAAGACATGGTAACTCTTATTGGCTATGAATATCCTTCTACCCAATTATTTGTTAACACTAGTATTGCATATAACTAGTTATCCTATATAAAAAATTTTACATTTCAGTGCTATACTGTCCCATAGTTAGGTGTTGTAATCACTGATTACCTGCTGTTTTGCTGCTACCTGTATTTTGTTGCTTGATTGGTTTTCAGTTTACTTGTCCATGCAGTTTATTCTATCTGATTAAGTTCCTCTATAATATTTTATATTGTTTTTACTATTATGTTAACATCATTTGCAAAAGCTAGTTGTCTGCCTACTTATTGATTATCATTCCTGATGAATTTACTCTTTCTATCTTCTTAAGTAACTTCTGCTTCTACTTATCCTTTTCCACATTGCTGCTACTCCCTTTACATGCTGCTTTTTTTGTCAGTTATTAATTTATATTCTTAGTCAAATCATTAAGTTCTTTGTTTTTTTCATGCCTTGCTTTATTTTATAGTCTGTTGTTGAAGGTTCTTTTGTATTCTTTATTTTTGTTTTCATCTTAGAGACCTTCTATATGCTACCTTTTCCACAAATCACATATTCTAACATATCATGGGCTCAGTACTATACTAGAAGACTCAAATTTTTGGAATTTTAAGTTATTTTTCTTAAATAACAACTCAACTCTGCTCAAAAATAGGATGAATGATTACCTATTTAAATATACAATAAAATTTCAGTCTCTTACCATTAATTTATCTTTAATTATCTCTTATCTCTAAACTATAAATTATCAGTAAACTATAAATTGGGTGTTTTATTTTTATTAGGAGAAGAACATGATGTACTTAAAAAAGAAGATTTTGCCTTAGGATTCATGAATTCGGTAATGGAAGACAAATTAAGAGAATTCCCCAGCATAATTTGTACGGATGGTACACACGGCACAAACAAGAGGGGAATGGATTTAACAGTGGTGCTTATTAAAGATGACAGGAATGCAGGATTTCCAGTTGCGTTCTTACTGTCAAACAGATTGGACCAACTAGTTCAAGAGGTTTTTTTAGGTATGTATTACTTATATGAGTAGTGGCAATTTATGACTGGTAAGTAAAAATAATTTTCAAAAACTTTTAGGTGCCCTTAAGAATAGAATGCAGACTTCAATTCATGCGGAACATTTTATGAGTGATGACGATGGAAAATATTATAATGCATGGGTGAAGATTATGGGCAACCAACCAAAAAGGCTTTTATGTACCTGGCACGTCGTGAGAAATTGGAATATTCAAGGGAAGAAGAAGATACAGGATCCAATTTTGAAGAAACAGATGAAAACTGAGATGAAAAGAATTATTAATGAAACGGATGAAGATCGATTTATGGAGTTGTGTAACAAATATATAATCAAATTACAAGAGGCAAATGAGATAGATTTTTTTAATTATCTGGCAGGGTAAATAAATATATGAAATCATACATTTTAAGTCATCCTTAAGTATATATTTTTTGTAGGTATTACTTTCAGAATGAAGAGAGAATCAAAATGTGGGCCCATTGCTACAGAAGAAATGCAGGAATCAATACAAACATGGCGATAGAATCTTTCAATAATCTACTGAAGACCAACCACCTTAGGAGAAATGCAGCAGTATCAATCGAAAAGTTGTTGGACACCATAGAGGAACTAGTGGACATAAAAATGTGGAACAGGATTATTAACATTCAAAGACCAAATGCGAACAATTACCAAGACAGGATTATAACAAAAGCACACAAATTGGCAGAAACGATGAAAAACAAGGTGGAGGTTAAGAAAAATGTGAAGGTATATGGTCAATTTCAGGTAAAGTCATTTAGAGATCCTAATAAATTATATAATGTAAATATAAAGCAAGTATGTGAAAATGAATGTAAGACATTGTATTGTAGAGTATGTAAAATTTGTATTCATCGCTACCAGTGTGAGTGTTATGAATATGTGGTGAGGAATACCTTGTGTAAGCATGTGCACTTGGTAAGAATGCATGAGGAGCACGAGGGAACTAACTCTGTTTTAGATGATGCTACAAGGTGTTTGGCAGAAACTTCAATTATCAAATCAAAGTATCAGGAGGAAATTAATGTGTTTGTCAGAGGGAAGGTAGAACAGACAAATGCGATCCAGGAAAACACCAAACGATGTGTTCAAAAAGAAAACTTCAAAAATGTCACAGACAGCTTAGATGACTTAGATGATGAAATTTATACACAAGTACATGACAAATTTATGAGAATGGTTCAAGGAGCAAAGCGTAAAATGAAGGAAAAATATCAGGAAACCACTAAGGATATTATAAAGAAGCGAAAAATGGAAAAGCAGGAATATTTTCCTTCCAATAAAAAAAGAAACTGATTAAAAATTAAATTTGAACCATTCTTGTATCTCACATGTATTTTGTGTTTTTGTATCTGTATTGAATTTTTATTATAGTTTTATAGGCTTATTTATAAGAAAGTTAATTTAACATTGTTATATGTTTACTTTATTAGTAATTATATAGTAAAATTTCATAAAATATATGTATAAATGCTTAGCTTAGGCCTGGATTTTAAAGCTGTGTCAAGTAATGATGTTATAAAGCTATTTGTAGACTTTTATACTAGAATTGTATTTTTAAATCGGGATGTACTGGGCCCTAGGCGAGGTTTAGAGGGGTTTTCCTTCGCCATTGCACCAATAACGGCCTCCCCCTCCTTTGATTTCCCAGATTTTTAATAAAGAATAAAGACGTTTTAGACATAGCTATTTAGTGTTTTATTTGGTTTGCAATAGTTATTTCCAGTAAACCTCTGCTTTATTTTGTTTACAATGACAATTTTTCATAGCACTCAATTCACAATATATCTTTTTATTGTCCTACATTTGTGGTAAAATCTAACAGAATTCAGTGTAAGGTTCTAAAAAATGAAAATGGATAAATGTCAATTTGGATTTAGGCAAGGCAGGTCTACAACAGCAATTTTTATTAAAAGCTAATTTAACAATTTAGAGTGAATTTACATAGTATAATTAAACTTGAGAAAGCACATGATGAAGATATCAGAAACCTACTGTGTGTGTAACAACTATAATAGTGTTAGAACAACTATTATAGTGTTAGAACGATTACAGGTGAAACTGGCAAATTTTGTGTGAAAATGAGTGAAAATCAGGGTTTCGCCCATATTTATTCTCATTTGTGCTGGATAAAACTAACCTCCTGGGTATTGGTAGAAAAGAGTAGCGGAGACAGGTCCTTGAAGAAAAATGATTAAAATTAAGTTGGATACAAACAAAATATTTAGAATATTCTTTTAAAGATGAAATTTCAAGACCAGATAGAGTAGTTGGCTTGGATAGACAAGAACTCATAAAAGATGATAATGTTCGGCTTTTAGGATCGGTATTACCGTTTTATCTCTAATATTTTAATTAAAGGTAAAGGAAAGAGGCAAATTGACTGATGTGTGATAAAAAAGATACCAAGAAAACTAAAAGGTAAATTGTATAGGACTGCCATTAGACCAGCTATGATGTATGGTACTGAATGTAGGGCAGTAAAAAAAGGGGATGAACAGAAATTACATGTTTCTGAAAATCCATATATTCATACAAAAAGCGGAGAGGTACTTAATCCCTGGAAGAGAACAGAAAAGTTTAGAGGAAAATACTTAGAGAAGCCGATTCCACATAGAGAAAGCTAATGAGAATAATAATGGTAATGAATGTTCTAGAAATAAAAATAATAAGAGGAACCTCTAAATCTTAGTAAAAAATTACCTAAACAAAAAAATTAAAACAATATCTATGTATCTAATAAAAAAAGCATCACTAACATTTTAATTTCTAATAAAACTGTACTAGTCAGCTTAATCCTAAAATGTGAATATCATCCGCTTTGTACCAATACAACAATATATTGCTAATAAATTGTTTACCGACATACTGTGCCACAATACCTCAATTGTCATTTTAATAAACATGAAACCCGCCAATTTTTAAATTGGGACCCACCCACCAACCAAACAATAAGAAATTATTCAATGCAATCAAAATGAAAGAATGTTAAGTACATTTGACAGTAGTAGTTTATTTAAAACAAATGACAATCACTATATCTACTCAACAAAGGGATGCTGTCCTTTTCACCGAACACTAATTTAATAAAATTTAAAAATATTATTTAAAATATTCTCTTTACACTGTGTATTGTAGCTTTACATTTCATAATATGATATTTCAAAAATACGAAGTTTTTGGTGGTGGTTAATTTGAATAATTACTTTAGTTATAAATAGTTATTTTTCTTCATATAGCAGATAATAAAAAAAACCACTGAAAGATATTACTTAGTAATTTCAGAATTCAAATGCAAACTTTTACTAGAAAAAACATTTTGCCGAAAATTCAAAGTTTACTACTAAGTTCAGTTTTTCATCCTCTTTTCAAATGCAGAATCCATTTTTAATGATCTAATTTAGAGGGTGTTGTTTGTGAGTCAGAATATTTTTACAATGTATTTTAATCTGGACCTCGATTTGTTAAAATTGTAAGGAATTAATTGATTGGCCACCTGAAAGTATATTCGCATACCAAATATAAAGAATATATATAGCATGGTTAAAAAGTTATGAGCCAAATAAAAGTTGACAAAATAGATAAAACACCCAGTAACTTTTTTATTGATGTAGTAAAACCCATTAAGTATGGGGTTTTTGAGATCGCCTAAGTGATCTCTTTTATCAGTTAATGAATATTACTCTCCCAAAAAAACACCCTGGATATAAATGAAGCAGAAACAAAGTACTTATATGAATTGAACAAATAAGCAATTTGTTTGGATGTAATACATAATAATAATGAGAAGGACAAAGTGAACACAATATAAATTTGCAGAATTAAAAGATTTGAATACTTAGTAACTGTCTTCACAAGAGATCTAATTCTGGAGAAGAAATACTGGGAAAAGACACCGAGAGTGGTTATTGGTTTGAGAACGTAAAAATACTGTGCAAAATCTTTAGCAGGACAAACTTAAATGACAATAGATAAGAACAAAAAACAACAAGCTAACTGAGCTCTATGAAGAGTTTAACATATTATCAACCTGCCTTGTTTTTAAATTCTACCCATATATTTTACAAGAATTATAAATTCTTCTTATTCATACTGAAGTTTTAAATATGAGAAGAGCATTAGAAAATCAATAACTGTTTATTGATATTGTATATTGATAATTTTATAATATCAAGATAGTGTTCAAAGGCAAAAGGACTTGAATCTAATAAAAGAAGAATTGACGAAAGAAGTATGTAACATAATTTCACTAAAACTAAAATGACAGCTCCATTTTCAAGGTCATTTGCAGGCCATATAACTGTTTAATAAGAATGTAAGAGCTTATATTTATAATATTCCCAACATTTCCTTTCCAATACTTTGAACTCCATACATAACTATTTTTTCCCTTTTATTGACCACTTAATGCCAAACTGAAAACAAAATTATAAGTGATATACCTAGGACATGATTTATAGTAAATCATTAGCTTTATCAGTTTAATATATTTCCTTGTAACAAAAATCTTTGCAGTACATTTTTGGAAGTTATAAAATTGAATTTCTATGAAGTTACATTTAGCAAAAGACCCTATACGCAAGGATAAGTTCAACAGAAGTTAATTACTTTGTAATAAGACCTATAAAGAACTTAATATTGAAGGCATCAGCAAACCATAAAGACTGAGATGGTGGTGTATTGCAGACCTATTAATGTGTTTCAAACAACATGGTTTCTTGGTTTTACCAATGACAAGCATGGGCAATCAGTGGCTGCCAGTTTCATTAGCACAGTTAAGGCAGTGATATGATCCTTGTTTATTTTAAGTCTAGGTGCTGTTGATTCATGACATGATGCAAGAGTTTTTCATGACAAATCTTTCCAATTGAGCCAAGTTTCACCTGCACTATAAATGCTTGGAAGGTGTACTTTTCTTCAGCAACTCACTTAAATTAATTTAGAATAAGAATGCTCCGAATGAATCAGCACAGTTTTATCCTTGTATTTGAAGCACATGAATGCTATGTCTCGACTTAAATCGTTTAAACCAGCCTGTGTTTGCTTGAAAATTTAACAGCTCTCTGGGTTTTTCGTTGCATTGAACTGCTTTTTCACATAGAATCAGATCAGAAATAGGTTCTCCCTGGACTCTTTATTGAGTGAACTACTTATATCCGTGTTTCAGTCAAGTTTTATTATGTTACAACCTGTAGGTACATTGGAAGAATTCAGATAATCTACAATCTACTGTTCTTGATGAATTACAACTGATTCCTGCTATATTTATAAGTGTATGACAGTCAATATCACTAATATTATTGTCATATGTTAACAGATTTTGTATAAATAAGACTATCTCTTAATGTATTGTCACTGCACCTGCAAAACTCTACAAATATTTTTTGGAGAAATTAAGTTTTGTTCATAATTTAATAGTGTTCATCACATGTCTAATAACTACTTAAGTTATTTTAATTGGTCTTGAAAATATCAAAACCGATTTATATAAATCCTTCAAACACAGATGTATGGGTACTTATAGTACAATTTTTGTCAGGTTTTACAAGCACAAGGACAATGTTAGGATGATTACAATTTTAAAAAGAAAAAATAAATACATACGTAGTAAACAGTAAATAAGTATTCTAGGATTACTAACAACTAAAAAATGAATAAACAATAAAAATTACTTACCAAAAATAAAACATCAAGCCAAAAATAAACAAAAATACATCAAGTAGCAAAATAAGGTAACAATAACTGAAAACAAAACGGTGTAACGTAAACGTAAAAGAAGCATCTAAGGTGCCCCCTTACTTGTCGATATGTATCTTCGATGGTAGGTATGTAGCTCTCCCGAAAAGTACCTTTCACAAATCTTAAAACCAATGAACTTTTTCCCACCCCACCGGCTCCGAAAACCACCACCCGGTAGTCGTTGCTCTGTTCCGGCATTATTTCACTTTTATTTTACGTTTTGGCAATAATTTAGGAGTGCTCTAATTTTATAATAAAAATAAAAAAAGAGGTTATATTACCAATGATAACGAGAAGTTATTACAATTTTTTATATACATTACTCTCGAAAACTGCGTTGAGCTCGTCTTTGTCAAGAATATCTGAATATACTTCTCTTAAATTTTGAAAATATTAAATAATTTTTGTCTAAAATAATAACGTCATTGTGAAACTAAAAAATTTTATATTGATTCTTGTTTTGAGCCACCTCTTGAAGAGTCTTTGAACTACCGCTTATTGACAATAGACATAACGTGGGTGGTGGCCTTACACATAAAGGAATCCAGTGTCGGATGAAGCCAAATATGATAAACCATGGCCATCTTTATTTTAACGTTATTTTAAATTCAAATTCATTTATTGATGTAATTTTGCCAGTAGCCTAACCATCGAGCAAAAAAAAAACAAAAACATTGTCTTTTTGCTCGATGAACCTAACGCACGTCAAAATAAAAGCAGAACAATAGTTCTTTTAAAAAATCTTTATAAAAACATAATATATCAGATTGAATTAACCCGGCGCCAGTGTGGTAGACTAAAATGTAAAAACCTGTGTGGTGGGGTATCAGATACCCCAAATTATAAAAAAAAAATGAAATAAAAATAACACATTTTTAGAAATTTTGTATTATGATTTATATTTCAAACTTATATACCGGGTGGTGAATCGTCAAACGGGCCATAGGAAACTCAATGGGAAATTTTAAATTGTTGAATTGCTGCTTCCCTAATTATTTTAGATCAAAAGTCATAAAAAACTATTTGTAGAGGACTGAATTTTAAATTAAAAACAAATGTTAAAACCGTTCTACGAATCAAACGTATTTTACTTCAAAATTTTGCAAAAATATAATAGATTTTTTAGACCACCCCTAAAAGTTAGGCCACACGTAATACAAGAATATATTATTATAACGTGTGTGTTTTATCATATTGATGTCAGATGTTTGACAATTTAAATTGTCAATTTTTTTTTATTTTATGATTAAATTATAAACAATGAATTTTACTAAATACTACTACTACTGAACAATATTACTTTGTGAACAATAAATTATATTGTTTACAAATCAATCAATATAATGAAATGTACGCAGTTGACGAAAAATCGCATATAATGTTGTATTCAGGCAATAGAGCGAACCTTTTCCTGTCACTACCGGATCTTTATGTAAGGTAAGATATTCTAATACACTAAAATTTAATTCCATGTTAAGTCGTTATACAACAATTCAATGAATTCCAGTATACTGTTACTGTGATCTTTATTCCTAATAATAATATACGATAATTTCTAAACGTAAAAATATAACAAATATTATAATAAAACATGAATAAAACATTTTTAATATTGCTCTTTTCTCCTTAATTGAGTACATTTTTTAATCAACTTAATTTTTCTTTTAAATAATAAATCACAAAATTTTGGCCATTTAAATCATAGATAAATATAATATAGTTGATATATTGTCAAATATTAGAAACGTCAATATGACAAAACGCAACACGTAATACACATTCTTTTCTCGGGCGTCTGGCCTGACTTTTAGGGGTGGCCTGAAAAATGTATTATATTTTAGCAAAATTTTGGAATACGTTTAAGTCGTAGAACAATTTTAACAATTTTTTTCGATACATACTTGAGTCCTCTACAAATAGTTTCCCATGACTTTTGGTGTAAAATAATTAGGGAAGCAGGAACTCAACAATTTAAAATTTCCCATTGAGTTTCCTATGACCCGTTTGCAGATTCACCACCCTGTATAACAAACTTAACCAAAAAGGAACCAGTGTTTAGAAACAAATTGCAAATTAAATACTTGAATATTCCAAAAAAGTCTCATTTTACAGCATAAAAAAACGGCATACTCATTTTTTCTCGATTATTAAAAAAAGATCAGAGAACTAGAAAAATAAATAAATGTTTGGACGAACCATAACATACAGAATACATTTGAATTGTTTTTAGCTAAATAACAAGAATCACAATGCACCACTGAATGCTCTAAATATATAGCTTTTTTACAAATCACATAATTATAAAAGGTGTTTCTGTCATTTTTTTGCGTCACATTACATTAAAAACATTACATCTTTTGGTTACTTTAAATGCCTCCAGCTTTTCATCAATAGTAAGGTATTCGCTTGTCGCATAGACGTCTTGACTATTTTTACAAATTTTTCGAAAATTGCTCTAATTGCAGTCATTTTATTGAGTTTTTTCTTTCTTCTCGATTTTGTATGTTGTCAAAACGTAGACAAGACTGTAAATAAATAAATCGTTGTAAAGACATCGTCTCTCTAAATAAGCTTATTCCGGTTCCATCGGTAGACCAGAGATCTTCTAAATTAAGCCGAGCAGGCTTGAACACCCTCCCAGCCGAGTACAATAGTCTAAACAATGCTCTTAATTTAGTTGCATTTGTTTCGTGAACTGCATACTGATGGTTTTCGTCGTACCAAGTGGACTTCCTTTTTATTTTTATATTAGTCTAAGTTACGACATCATCCATTATACTAGATGTAAAAAGTAAATTGAAACATTCCACGAGAGTTTTCGCCATTTTTGCATTTCGTTTACATCTGGTAAATGCGCAATGATATTTATTGAGCGTATTCTTACATTTATAGGAAAGCATGTTGAAAACCATTTAGTGCCGTCCTTACCTACGTAATGTTTCTTTTGACTCTCCTGTTCTTGCCCAAAAAGTTCATTTTCGATTTCTATATCGGCTACCGACTGTTCTAAATCAATAGCATCTTCCTCGCTGTCAGAGTTGTAGCTACTGCGATGTCTTCATTGTCGGATTCGTTCTCGCTTGCAGATCCAATTACTACATCATCGTCTTGAGAATAGTACCATAAAGCTTTAAGCCTCGCCTGCTCCCGTTCATATCGATAAGCCATAATCTAGAACAAAAACATATGTATAAAATTTCACATTTTCATTAAAAATAAATAATTTCAACGAAAATTATATAAAAATGTGAATGCAACTCAAACAATACTACCATAAATATATTAACTTACCTGTGTGGTGAGGTATATGGTACCCCAACGACGTTTGGATCAAAACAGCGATGCGATCGTTTACTTTCAAAGTAAATCAACATTCTTTATCTATGAACTGCGAGACCCGCCCCTTCAAGGTTCTAACCAAAGGCACTGAAATTGGCTAATTCGCGCTGATCGCGCTAATTTACCGATAAAAATATTGGCGCCAATTTTAAACTCACTGAGGTATGTTATACCCCACCACACTGGTGCTGGGTTAAAATAGTTTAAAATTGAATTTTAAGACATTCCTCAGTACTATAAAATACATTTTTTATTAAAATTTCCTTAATTTTATTTTAAACTGAGTTTTGGAAACATCCTTTACGTTATCAGGCAATTTGTTATAAAATTTAATTGCCCAATGCCCTGATCCAGTTTGACACCTCTTTAGCCTCCAGTAGGTTCGAACAAAGCTACATATGTGTCTAGTTTTATGATCATTATGCACCTCTTCATGGATCCCAAAGTGCCCTTGCTTCTCTTAACAAACATAAGATTCCCATATTTATATAAGGAAGGCACACTAAGAATTCCCAGAGTCTCAAAAGCCAATTTGCAATCGCCCTAAACCCAAGGCCTGCAAACACTCTTACAGGCAAACCAAAAACACTCGGCATTCCCGCCGAATGCCTCCAGACCAAGATTGCATGTGTGAGATGAGAGTGAAAAATGGCATAATAAGCCGTTGCTAGATATTTGAGCACATAAATCTTTGATAGAATTTTGCTCAGATAGTCAATATGTTGAACCCAGTGAAGCTTGGGGTCGAGGTGTTCTCCAAGGAACTTCACACTTGTCACATTTGCGTTTTGAGCCTGATGTCTCTAAGAGCCCTGTTGGACTGTACTTCATTAAGCACAAGCCTGTTAACACAGAACCACTCTTTAGTATCAGACAGTGCAGACCTGGAACCCCTCAGATAGTCCTCAATTGTGTTAGCTGAGAAGGAGACTGTGGTGTCATCAGCAAAGAGTGTGTATGAAGCGTTTGATTCAATGCTTGTAAGGTCATTAATATATATTAGACATATGGGTCCAAGGACGGAGCCCTGAGGAATACCAATATTGACAATACTGACACAGTATATTTCCATCACCAGAATTCAAATCGATTATTACGACAAAAAGTACAAAATATTTATTCAATAAATAATTGAAAAAGAGACCATAATTGTCTTCCTTTCAGGAATAATTGGTACCTATGTTAATTTTTGTTCTTTTTTATGTTTAGTTTACGTGTCTGATTGATTATTTTAGTCTGAAAAGTATAATTACATTATATTCTCCAAATTCCTTGTGGACTGTATATAACAATCATAATAACAATATATAACATGTATGTTTATGGTAACCGTATCCAAGGTAATATAAAAAATAATATTCAAGTGAAAAATTAAAAAATACATGCGTAGTCTCCTCAGATTGCCCCACGGTATAGGCAACTAGCTCTACGCAAATATAATTACTTTCTAAAAGAAGAGCAGATTAAAACGAAGTAGAATGTCACACCACGTGACACGTGACATATGTCAGGAACTTACAGTTGATACTGTTTATAGTTGATTTGAAAATATGTTATGATTTAAATAATGGAAGCAGAGGCTTATATTCAATGGAAAAGACTATTTAACGATAATGTTTTACACTCATATAATAATGAGAAACAAGAATTGCAAAATGCGGCTATGTTGCTTACAGCTTTAAAAGCAGAATTCCAAAGTATGCATTTTTTCAGATTTCTTTCTTGACAACTTTATGTTCTTATTTTTTTTTAGATATATCTCAAGCATTAGAACAACAATTTGATGGATTAAAAAGACAATTAAAAGACAATACCGAATTAAAAGAACAAATTACTTCACCAGCACAACCAATGTAAGTTGCATATTTAATTTGAATAGACATTTAACTAAAAGTAAAAAATATTGTTCTGGTAATTATTCAATTTTCACAGATTATCACTTGACTGTAGTAACATTATGTAATTAGCTGTCTTTACTTGATACTTAGTGCAATGTCATTTTATTAATACATTCTGCAATATATTTTACCTAACCAAAATTACCAATACTTAATAGGTTTATCATACTCATGTGGTTCATGCAAAATTACTTAAGTATAATATTTTTATATACTGACAACCACATCTGAGTTAAAAAATCATTATTTTCCCACTGATTGCATGACAAAAATATGTGTCAAGAAGACTGGCAGTTAAGTCTATTCTAGTAATTGATAAGTCATCACATAGACATTGCCAATTGAACACACATATTTTCACATCAATTATGCATATTTATCTTAATACCTAATATTTTTAAATGCGAGTTTATTGCACCTGTAAAATTATTTTTTTGGATGGAACATGTTGTGCTATTTCAGTTTCTACTTTATGAACTTTATACTAAATACTATATAAATACTTAAATAGTACTATACGAATTTTTAATGTTTTCATAATTTTGCAGTTTACAAACAATTCATAATATTCCAAAATTGGAACTTCAGGTGGATTTACCTAACAATAACACTGATCATAAATCAGCACCAAGTGATTTGAAGAGCCCTGATATCTTTATAAACCAGTCTCCTAAACATGTTGAACAAGTATCTCCCATTATAGATCTCTCAAAATCAGATGACGATACTTGTATAGAAGACAGTCCTACACTTATTTCAAAGAGAAAGAAGGATGTTACAAAACATAAAAAAGACAAAATAGACTGTCTAAAGAAAAATATTTTAAGGGGAATTAATAAAGAAAATTTTTTTATTGAGTGTACCCCAGAAGCTAAATCCCCTAAAAGGATTGGTAAGAAAAGAGGAAATATTAAGAAGGCCCAATCAACACTTACCCAGTTATTTAATGACATTTCTACAAAAGAAACAAGGTATGTTGTTAATTTATTATTATGTGTAAGTAATGTACTATAGTTTTCTGAAATGGATTGGTAAATTGGAAATGAAATTAAACTATATGAGGGGTATAGAAGCAAAATCCGCCAAGTCACATCTATCAAAATTTTCAGGAAACATGAAAAACTATTATAGAGGACTCCTGTGATATTTTTAGTTTTCTGTTTGATTTACTTGTATTCTAGTATAATGTTTTATTAGAAGAATACAAAATAAAAAATATTTGAACCACAGTTTAGGTATAAAATTGGTTTTATTTATGGACATGGCAGGATTTGCAACAAAATTTAGCAACTTTGGATTGGAAATTTCAGAAAACTTCAGAAAAACATGTTTTTTTTTTTAATCTTAATTTAATCATTTATTATAAACATTAGATTCTTATAGATTAATATAATTATATTATATAATATAATTATTGTTATAAATTGAAAATAATGTAATCTCATAAAAATTAACTTTTTTTAACACAAAAAATTTTACATTCCAGTTGTTTCTTCTGGAGAAAATTCTTCACATAACTCATTTGTCAATAGTTGTGGATCACTCTCGTCATTATTTAGAGAAAGATGTATGGCATCTTTATAAAACTTCAAATCAGAATTTTCTTGCCAATCAGTTCCATAAAATGTTTCTAATAGTTTGGCAACACTCTGGGCCTTATGTTTGTCACTTACTCTGCCAGCTTAAAATTTGTCAGCATTAATTGAATGAATATGTTTTCCTTTCTTACAAATGCCCTTTGGAACACTGAGGGAAGTATTATGATTGACTTTGCGCTGAACTTCAATTGTATTATCATTTTACTTCAAAATCCTAGTGTTTGCACTGTTGAAATTGAAAGTGCCAAGCTCCTGGTGGTTTAATAACTTCTGATATTGAGGTTTTCCAATCAAACGGCTCCCAGTCTTCAACCAATTTATAGATTGTGGTGTTTTGCTCTATTATAGCTATGTAGTTCTCTTAATTCGTTATTATTTCTGTTTTTTTAATTTCGTCTTCATAAATACCAAGAACTCTATATGGTGGCATAAAACTGTGTCCTACATGTTGAACAAGTATCTCCCTGTGAATATTATTTCAATACAGTGATTATTATTAGGCACGTTTTTATGGACAAAACGTGCAAGCATGCCGATCATTGTAATATTTTTATTTTGACCTGGACAGCCATTTACACAAATCAAAATTTCTTTAACATCTCTGGAAAATTTATGTTTTGATAATCTATGAAACAACACTGAAGCTTTTTTTTGGCAAATTGGCACTTGAGTTTTTTGGCAAATCTAAATCGGTCCATAAATAAGCTGAAACTAGTCAGAATTAAGTTTCATATTAGAAGTACCATTTACAATTGAAAAATTGTAAAGATTATATTGGGAAGAGAAGTAAGCTCTTTGATCAGATAATTTCGGAAGAGCTAATTTTTTTGACAGTCCATTGAAAAAACTTCTCTCTCGCTGCTGTTAGTTTTAAGAATTTTGTAAAATGCTTTTACTTTAAGTTTATGTAATTCCCGTAAAACATTAAGTTCTTTTTTTGCTCATCATCTTGTTCTTTCCTTATCTCTTCCTTATATCTTAAGCAAAGAGAGCATGCGTCTGTAATAGGTGTTCCAAAACCTATATTATAGTGTGATGCAAAATATGAATGAAAATAATGTTCCTTAACCATAAGAGAGCTATCCACTGATGTGACATAAAGTTTAAATACCTTTCTTATATTAAGATCACATGGTAGATAAGTTCTTTTCTTGATTTGACTCCTGCAGTAATGAGCTTCCAGACATTTAAAACTCTCAATAAAATTACTCATAGTTAACTTTTTTGATCATTTTTTCTAGAACGCTGTCGCCGTGCGCTTGCTTTGGTAATCTATAATTTATTGATACCTGTTATTATTGATAAATTATGCTGCCCACTTCTCTCTCTGCTCGTCTTCTTCTCTGTGATGTCTTAGCCCCACAACATTTTAATATGAAAGTATCTTGTTTAAGTTTTGATGGAATTTCATAAAATATTTCATGAACAAATTGCAGATCCCTCACAGTTAATAAATTGTACTTCAAGAACTTATTTTTATGAACACATCTTGGTTTTTCAGGCAAAACTTTAGCAGAATATCTAAAAACAAAAAAATTGATTAGTTCGATGCACTGAAACATTATCTACCCTTTTGTGTTTATCACACTGTACGATTCTTTTACAGCTACATTCTGGAGTCGTTTCTATAGAGATACCAATATTATCGTTATCCATTACAACAACAAAAAAAGGAAATTTACGTAAACCTACTTTGAATAATATCCAAACAACACTAAAAACATGGTTAGAAGCTGCCACATGCCATTTCGCGGGAACGGCTAAGTCACGTGTCAGCCCAAACGTTTCGCCATTAGCAAGGCCAGACGAGGCAGTCTTCGAAACTAAATTTTTTTGGACATGGTGGTTTTTGCAACTTAAGCATATTTTCTCGTTTAAATTAGTCCAATTTAAGGTGGAATTTGCACCTAAGTTTTTGTTTGAACTTATGTTGAACACATAAAGAATAAATTCCCGTATCAAACGCAGATTTCACAAAAATGTGACTTGTCGGGTTTTGCTTCTATACCCCTCATATACAAATTGATTTAAGATTTAAGTATAATCTATTCACTGAATTTAGTCCCAACTATTTAGTAAATTGTGTAATTAATTTTGTGCTGTTTGTCAAATTTGGAATCTTCTGAAAATGGCAGAATAATTACTATTTTAATGGGAATATAAGTCACAATTAAGTTTAAAATGAGTTTATTGATGTTTCAATTTCCACTTCAGAGATTGTTCTTGAACAATTTCCAAAGTGGAAATTGAAACATCAATAAACTTAATTTTAAGTTCATATGGAAGAGGTTGTCAGCTTTAGTATTAATTAATATTGAGAGTACTTTGTTAGAGGATTTGAGATCTCTAACCATATTTGAAGATGCCATCTTAGAGATTTCCGAGAATAAAATTTAAAACTAGACTAGAAGATATATCTTAGCATGCCATATATATTTATATTGGGTATTATTTTATTTTAACATTTTTTTTGTATAGTTTCAATCTAATGGTCTAAATTCTATATTGTATTTAGCATTATTTTGATCTTCCTTGTGGCTATTATTTTTATTAGATTTTACTGCATCTCGGATTATTTATACATTTTTTAGCAATGAATTAACTAATATGGAGGAACCAACAGCTACCAACCAAACATTCCAGGAATGGATAAAAGATGAAGATGCATCTGAAATGGGTATAACAAAGCTGCTTAGTTTCATTAATAAGGATGATACTCCCAAAAGTATAAAAAATCAAGAAAATCAAAATGATGAAGAAATGGATTCCACAAATGAAGTCGATGAATTTTCAAAAGCAATTTTGTTTGAAGAGAGCCCAGGGATTGATTCGTCGCCAAGAAAGTAAATATTTTCTGTATGAATTAAAGGTTACTAATTTAGAAATATAAATATTTAATATTTAAAAAAAGCATTCTTAAGGGGCAGTTAGCAAGTTTTTGACCTCTCCTCCCATGTATCGCACCGTAACGTTTCACACATTTTTGTTATTTATTTGATATTATTTTTATTTAAATTAAACTTACGTTTTACTGAGTCTGGTGTCTAATAGAGCTACGTGTCACAAATTGGCGCCTGAGCAAAGGTAAAATGCCACTTTATCCAGCAACAACAGACTATACTCAGTAACTGGTGCCACAACAGGTAAGTTGTGGATATATCGCCTGTTCAAAGATGAATTACAGCACGAAGCGAAAGGGTCGGCTTATATTCCAAAGGAACTGTCAAAGAATTTTGAGGTCAAGAATAAGATACTTTTTCAAAAATCGTGGAAAAACTGACAGGAACAATCCCAAAAGTCAAGTTCTCCAAAGATTCTAAACCCGACATACTAACTGAAGAAATTTCGGTCATTAGAAGGCAATAACAAGACCTAGCAATACTGAGACAAATGTCGTAGGCAGGGATATTAAACCAAGTAGGGGAGAACAGGGGAATGACAGTCACTTAAGAGAAAAATATTGTGAGTGATGAGATAAATCATATTTTATTGAGGTTTCCAGTCAAATATGTTTGTTTGTTATTTGCCTATGTTATATTCTAATTGGGTTTGTAAGGCGCCAATGATTTCTTTTTTTTATGATAAAAATCAAAATAGCTGCTTGACTGGTATTACCTTATGATGTCAGGTAATAGTGGTCAGGGTATGAGAAAATGGCAATCTTAGATTAGAATAACTTAATAAGAACAATGATACATTCAATCTATTTTATTATTACATCTTAACACATAACAAAAACAAATGAACATAAACCATTGGAACATTAGTTTACCATATCTATGTATATATCGATAAGTTTTCCCACACTGTCATGTTTACTGATGGAACTCATGTCATCTACTTATGGGAAAATAAATATGTGCCACTGACCTCTATATAAACGCATAAACTTTACGGAATTAGTTCTTCCTCAGTTCAATAACTTCAGCCGGATAATTCTTCTTTGCTTTTTCATTGGAAAAATTCACAAGAGGAAAGTCACCTACGTTAACTTGATGCGGTAGTTCTTCCAGGCTAAACCCTTTCGGCAGATTTTTTTCAAGTTCACTCTCATTGAAGTGCACTGAGTCGCTGTCTCCAAATTCCTGACATTATTCGCTCTCATTTGGACAGTCCACCTCAGAATCAGATGAATCAATTATTTTTCTTTTAACATAATTCTCAACTTTAAGAGCATATTTTTTTTAGTTTGTTTTCTTTCTTTTAGTTTTAAACGCTCTTCATGGTTTTCTTTCTTCTTTTCTTACTCATCTTTGAATGGTGTTGATATCAAAATTTGCAAGTGTATCTGTCTGGTATTATTTGGTATTTCTTCCTTCAGAAAAATTAGGCAACGGGGTAACTTCTTGAAACGTCACATAGGATATACTCCAGTGGATGTAAATCCATAAATTGGTTTAGCAACCCTGGCAACATTTGTTTATGTTTTGTTAAAGACTTCCGCAATTTTATAAACTGTAATCCTTTCGGTTGGTTGGCTCTTTATGAAAAGATCGCATTTCCTGTAATAGACTTTCTTGAGAGGTCTAAAGAAAACGTAAAGGCTAAAGGCGAAGAGATAAATGGGGATGCAGCGACAGCATCGTTATGAATCTTTGCAAGATTCTACGGTGATATGGTTACCATGGTTGCCTAAAATTAGTAAATCTGGTTCAGTTTCACTGGGGTGACATACCTTTTAAAATGTTTTAATCACTGAATAAAAAGTTTATCATTAGTCCAGCCGTTTTTGGAACATTTGTAAAAAGATCCAGGTGGTTCATTCTCTTCCAGAAGTGGTGTCATCCGTTGTCTTGCAAATATAAAAGAGGGGGAACATAAGTCCCTGTAGCGTTTCACAAGACGTTACAGCTCCTATTCTTTCGCCTTTTTGCTGCTAAAATTTTGTTGGTCTTTGGAACATTTGTAATACCTTTTTTATCCATATTATAGATGTTGTTGGGTGTAAATTTAAAATTTTCCATCACGTTCTCAAGGTCTTCGAAAAGTCCTTGGGCTTTTATTCAGTTAAGAAGAGTTGCTTCAGGTTTCCGCACTGAAATGTATGGATTTCTTGTTAAAATCCTTCTAGCCAATGTTTACCAGCTACCCTGCTTGTTGTGTTAAATCTGTGGTAATTATTAAGTTTTTCTGTAAATTAAAACGCAATTTTTCTGAACTGTAGAGGTGTCAATCCGTAGTACATGTTCGCCTAAGTCTTTAAGTGTTTTACTGTGTTGGCTTCTTAGTCAAAGGTAAAGACAGCTTTTCTTCCTGGACGTGTACCACGTGTTATAGATTTTTTAAGTCTCTCTTGAAGGGCACTGAAAGGAATAGCATGATCCTTAGAAGCTGTTCTATTAAACTTCCCATTTTGCACTTCGAACGAATGTGATGTCGTGGCATCTAAAATATAAAGAACAATTTTAAAATGGCCATATAAAACTTAAAAAAAAAACGTACAAGATAAAATATTTCAAAATCATGGTGATTTGGCACTCACTCGCGGGGTTGTATCAGTCAAAGATTGCCAATACCCTGTTCACAACTATATAATTGTTTATTTACGTGTTGGTTAAAATTACAACGCACAGGCAACAAACTCTCGACTTTCCTACTGCGACAAGAGTAACCAACTGGCATGTGCTTAATGCATGCAAGTTACGTGGACAACCGGCCACTATGTGGAAGTACGCCTATTGTCTAATTCTTGGGTGAAATTTTGAATAATCTTGGAGAAAAACACAGTTAATTGGATGGATGTTGTAAATATTTATACTATATAATGGATCTATATCTGAAGAGTGTATTTCTTCTATTACGTTATGTATTACATAGTATGACTCTGTAATAGTTAAACTTTTTTTCGACTTCCAATAACTATGGGTAAGATCCGATATCAACAGTATATTAATTTTTTTGGACTAAGTCGCTTTTTTTGGAGCTTAATTTGGCTGTAAAATTGGAAGCTAAAATCTTTCGGCGATATTTTAGTGGAGTTTCCGCTACTTCTGCAAATAAACAATCAATTGGTGTACCTTTTAAAGCCCCTATGCATAGTCTTAGACACTTATTTACTACGTGGTCTATTTTTTCTAGTTGACTTTTTGAAGCTTGGTCGTAGAAGAAACAACCATAATCCAGTATTGACCTAATGTATGATTTGTACAGAAGGATTGCTACATTTGGATCTGATCCCCATTTTGTTCCACATACTGACCGTAAGATGTTAATTCCTTTTTCTTTTTTCTTGATTAGATAATCCATGTGATTTTTCCATGTCCTTTTTTTATCTAGATACATTCCTAGGAATATTACTGATGCACGTACGCTATACTTTGTTGTATCCAATGTTAATTCGGTTGGGATGTTTTTTCTGTTTCTCGTGAAAATGCAAACTTCTGTTTTTTTCCTGGAAATTTTTAGACCATTTTCATTACACCATTTATTGAGGTTCTTATAAGCTATATTTAATTTTTTGCACCCTTCTTCAATATATTGCAGTATTGCAATTGTAGTATAGAAATGGTCTCACATTTAATTTTACATTCCAGATCTGCTGTGTATACCGCTTCTTTCGTCGTTAAGGTACGTTTAGATCTGACACTTGTTGCATAAAGTTTGTGTCAGACATAAATCTTGACTAATGTAAACACTGAAAAATTTATGTCAGCGATGTATATTTCTATCAAAAACTTGTGGCGACATATCTATAACGATAGATGAAAACGCTTGCTATTTTAGTGTGAAATTAAAACTGTTGGACACTTATTGCAAAAAGTTGGATGCTACTCTATTTTTGACACTTGTATCATTATAAGATGGGCGAAAAAAAAAAAGAGAAATTGAAAGCTAGTGTGGAACAATTAATTAATTTGTATCAATATATACTTATGGCATAAATTATGGCATGTAATAAGTGCAATTTTTGCAAGGACAGATTAAACATGTAAATTGTTTAAATGTAAACTTCGCTGGATCCTCAATAATCAACTCAAACATTAACTGATTGTAGACGTCTCAAAATCCACTGTCGAATCCACACAAAATTTTTTCTTTTTTTCATTTTTAGAATAATTAAACATGTGGCGCTTTTGCGTATATTTACAGAAGTATTACATACTTTAAAACAATATTTGTTTGTAGAAAACCCAAAATATCTCCACGTGCAGAACCAGTTGTACGAGGACATGCCCGAAAACTATTAAATGGGTTTTCTTGTGTACAGTGTCGAGAGGTAAATATTTTTTGTCAAATATCTGGTATTCATTTACATTACAAAAATCGCATTATTGAATTCAACGTTGACAATTTTATATTATTTTAGTTTTATGCAGGCATGAATTTAAGTCCCACCGAATTGCAAAAACGACTGGATGAATGTTCCAAACATCGTTACAAATATCAACCCCCTGAAGATACGTATCCAGGTAAACTTTTTTTTACGTATTTTTTTTGTAGTAACAAAATATTTTTTTGTTATAAGAAGTTATGTTATTATTACTTCCTATGGCGGAAAAAAATTAATTTCACGATTAGAGCTTATGAAATATATGAGCGAATATGTACGGCATATTCACATACACGGAATAGTACAGGCACTTATTTGTGAAATGCAATCTTAACGGTCCTTTCTATAAGTAGACTAAAGTTCATATGGAGGCATGGTATGGATAATGATACCAGGAAATATTGGTGTCCTTATCGATACTCTTAGCTGGTTTGCTAGACTGAAAAATGCAATTCTGAATTTGTCTTTATTTTCACCTGATGGTGTCTTGCACCTAATCTCATCCAGACTTTTTTTGCGGTTGGTATTGTTAATAGTGCCTAAGATTAACCGAACAATGATTAAAGACCTCTTATAACATCTAATGTATTTTACAAATAAAAGGCAGATATTGAGCATAGGTTTTTATTAAATCTTGCCCAGGAGCATCTAAAATAAGCCAAGAAACGTTTTTTCAAGTGAGAGAAAAGTAGTTTAAAAAACTCGAAGATGATGGTTGATAAAAAAAATTATATAACGTTTTAGACTTAGTTCGTCAAACATTTTTTCCATTCAGCACATCCACGAATTTTGTAAACAGTAAATACATTTATACAGGAACTAACAATAGACAAAGGACAAACAGTTTAAAAATTGTTTCGATGCTACATTGTGGGCAGCAGTAGGAGACAATACCGTGCTCAAACATGGCAGTGATAGCTTAGGTGTTAGTTTGGGCGTAAATCTGGTGGACACAGAGTGTGAATGTAAGAACTAGACTTTTTTTTTTTTCGTCTTTATAGAGGGGGGTCTGGAATCTTCAAAAGACATCTCAGTCCAGGACGCCGCCTGACTGACCTTAGTGCAGGATTCGTTCTTCGTACTCCCGGCGATAGTTCCCGAGGTACTTTAAAATGCCCTCTCGTCGCCGAGTCTACGCTGAACGCCTACCTGCTAAACCAGACCCTCCTCTGTCATCCAGCGATCCGGAAGCGGAATGGCCGCTGTAAGGCCGGCATCACTTCCGAAGCACTACCTTTATTCATTCATTCTCCATTCATACACATCCACACTCCTAGTTCGGCATCATTCTCAGAAGGGCATTTCCTCCTTCCCCACAGTCAAACTCACGCATTCTAACTCAAAAAGTGTGACCCATTGTTTTAACTTCACCTGTCAGCATCATTCACTCTACCTTTGCCGTTGGTCCAGCTGTCTTTCTTCCTCTTCCTCTTTTTTTTTGATCACTGCACGGATATAACTGTGTATGTTAATCCAACCTAATTTATTTTCAATCATTCTCTCAATCATTTCTCTCACTGTAACAAAATTCACACCTGTCTCTCTCTCCATTCTGTTCCTTTCCACTATCCTTCTGCTGCAATCTAACATCGTATGTGTCACAGTGTCCGAGTATCCACAATATAGACATTCATCTGTATCAGCCTTACCGATCCTATAAAGGTATGCCCTAAAACACCCGTGTCCTGTGAGCACCTGCGTCAGGAAATAATCCAATCGCCTGTGGTCACAGTCCACCCAAACTCTTATGTTAGGGATCAGCATTTTCGTCCACTGTGCCACATCCTCCGTATTGTTCCATTCTTCTTGCCATCTTTCAACTGATCTTTCCCTTACCTGTCTTCTCTCAGCCACAGTAAGGTTTGGGCCTCTTCTCTCATACAGCTCTTTTCTTTCCACCGCCAAAACATGCAACGGAACACATCCAGTGATAGTCCATAAGGCTGCCGCAGACACAGTCCTGTAGGCGCATGCCACTCGCAACAAACTTGTTCTGTCTACTCGTTTTATAAGATTCCTATAGGCCGTTATCTCTACCGCCTCGCTCCAGACTGGTGCTGCGTAGAGAACGATTGACTGTACAACACCGTGTAAGGCCCTCCTCCTTTCGGATTTGGGTCCTCCAATGTTCGGCATCACTCTCCCCAACGCAGCCGCACTGTTCGCAGCCTTCCGGACCACCTCCCGAACGTGTTCCCCCCATTTTCCATTCTGGTGCAATGTCACTCCTAGATACTTTACTTGTGTCTTGGGTGTTAGACATACTCCCGCACATTTTAATTCAACACCTTGCCTGTTCCTTGTCCCCTTCAGAATAATGGCTTCGGTTTTCTCTGTCGCAAGTTTTAATCCGTGCTGCGTCATCCATTTCTTTACGACGCCACCTGCTTTCCGAACCCGGTATTTGAGATCTGGCTCATCCCGGGCTACTACAAGTACAGCGAGGTCATCCGCGAATGCGAAGGGGGTTGTACCCTCTCCGTATTCACAGTGCATAACCCCGTCATATGCCAGATTCCATAGCGTCGGGCCCAAGACAGATCCCTGGGGTACCCCGGCCGTCACGTCCTCGATCGTGCCCTTTTCCACCATAATCCTTCTCTCGGACAGATACTCCGCCATAACATTCATCAGGTAACCAGGACATTCTCTCTCCTCCATTGCCTTCATTACCTCGTTCCACTGCAGCGTATTGAATGCATTCTTAACATCAAACAACAGCAGGGCCGCCCAGCGATGTTCATTCCCTCTGTTGTGCAATGTTTCGAGTACACTCATGATTGCATCAATCGTGCTTTTCCCTTTACAAAAACCAAATTGCCTCCGAGATAAACCACCTGACCTCTCAATTATGTCGTCTATGCGTACTCGCAGCATCCTTTCATAGAGTTTACTGATGCATGGAAGAAGACAGATGGGGCGATACTTTTCCCTAGCTTTGGGAAGCAGTATTAACCTCGATGTCCTCCAAGGCTCAGGAAAGGTTTGTGCTTCCAGCAATGCATTCATGTGTTCCAGAAGCCATGCAGGCTCCACCCGTCCTAGACCCTTTACCGCCTCAGGTGGTATCTGATCCAGTCCGGGGGACCTACGAGTCTTGAGTGAACCCAATGCCTTGACAAGTTCATCCATTGTAAAGGGTACAGCCCGCTCAGCTCCTTCATCCCTCCATACACCATGACATCTGCCGTCCGCAAAGAGCTCTCTTGTTACCTCAAGCTTCTTGTCCATAGGCATTTCATAAGGAGGATACGCATGGAACTTCTTCATAACGATCTTGTATCCCTGACCCCATATGTCCTCATCCAGTTTTTCACACAGTTCTTTCCAGTGCCTTCTTTTTTCTGTACGAATTTTCCTGTACAGTTCCCTCTTCCTTGCGCGGTACTCTTCCTCGATCTCCTCGATTACCTCAGGATTGATTCCTGCTCTGCCTCTTGCTCTTGTTAACCTTCTTCTCATTGCTATACATACATTTCTTAGTGCCTCGATGTCCGCATTCCACCAATATGGCATCCTGTTGACATCTTGGCGACCAAGAACTAGACTAAACAATCTGTTAATGCATATACTCAGTGTAGCAAATCTAAACAGTCGAGCTGGTTCCCTTACGTTTAAATTTCTATCTATCTAATTAGCTATCTTTGGACATAGGCCTCCCCAATCCTTTTCCATTCTTCTCTGTCTGTCGCTACAGTCATCCACCTAGAGCCCACGTGCATTATTGAAAGGAATTTGCTTAAGAGTACAAAGTTCTAAATTGAAGTTCTCATTAGAAACAGGAAATTTGAGAAGCCTATAAATGTAACTGTTCAAAGCAGTCAGTTTGTGTTGGGTTGGATAATTAGATGTTTTGTGTATAAAATGATCTGTTTGAGTAGGTTTTCTGTAAATATTATACTCTAGAAAATCTTTTTTTACGAGATATAGTTATATCCAAGAAGTCCAACTTCTGTGAGCTTCTGGTTCCCGTGTTCCATATAATTATGTATTAATGTAAATTTGGAATAATTAATTAATTAATATTTTTTAGCTATATGGGACATGACAATTCCTGATGAAAATATTAATACATAGGAAGTTTTGATGAGGCTGCCATTCATAAAGATTTCCATGCTGCCATATAAGAATATATTTTTTGTACAGAAAGTTTGATATGTTTTATATTTTGTAATAATTAAATTGATTTTCGAATATATTGACGTTTGGTTTTATTTAATTTGCAATATTGCCTTCACTGAGTATACTTACTTAAACCTTTTAGCTCCCACTGTTTTCATTTAAGTACCGCTGCTGTTTTGACATACTAGTGCCATGTACAATAAAATAGTTGCAATTCTTAGTAATTACAGCAAACTAAATACGCTTAAAACGACAACCTTATAGGTAATGGATTTTGACAAGAGCTATGACCTTGTAAATAACAGGTAAACTTGTGTACTGCATCGGCAAGACTCATTTCTCTTGTCAAAATCCATTACCTCTAACATATTTCGTTGAATGATTCAGCTGGTTTGTTGCTTTAGTTAGTTAGAGTTATTGTTTATAAAGTCAACACGTGCGTTTTTTATTTTCTCGACATTGACTTTGTAAATTTATATTAAGTTTCTCCTATTTATTTTTTTTTACCATCAAATGGTTTACGTTAGTTTATGATAAGTTTAGTAAAGGGCTTAAGTGATTAATTTTTCAGAATTTTAATTATAACGTGATTTATTTGTTGCTAAAATTAGGTGTACTTATAAGAGGTATTTTGCTATGGGAGTACGGGAGAATAGGAGAGTATTTTTGATATTTTACAATTTTGTTACAGATATGGTATCTGTAGACGATTTTGAGAGTATTATTGCTTGAAATTTCTATAGAAAGAAATATGAAGGTTTACCTTCAGCTTTAGAAGATATTCGTGCTTCTAGCACGATATCCCGCTCTTCGCGGTCTGAGCGGGATATTGTCATTATTCCTGGAATGGAAATGATTTTAATAATTATTTGTGACAAATGGATTCCTGTTGTATACGAATTACTCGGGAAAATACACTAGTTTAGCGCGTATGTTCTCGACTACATCATCGTGAAACAACACTGGTATAGCACTTGTTTTATTTTTTTCTTTTCTAGTGTAATTCATCTTAGCTAAAAATTTCTTGAGAAAATGTAATAAGTTGTTAATTCTCAGTTGGGTTCTTAGTTCTAAGTTGGGACAAATTTCGAATTGTGACAAGGGGTCAAGTCATGTTGAAATGTTTCGTCAAATATTTCCGTGAATTGAACAATCTTGTGTAATATTTTAATGTATTTAGCAGAATTCATCATGCATTTAATAGGAACTAAGCTTTCAGTGCCATTTGTTGTGAAAAACCGCCAAAACATCTGTTTCGAAGGTTATTTTACAGTCTGTTGGATATGATCTCATGGCAGAGGTTCACGTTCACTTAATCTAAGAAAACTTAATTTATATCCCTGCACAAATAAATGTAATTTGTCACTGAAAATCACTTCTTCCCAGTTGTCAACAGCCCATGATCAGTATTTTTGGCCTATGCTAAGCGTTTTTTAAAATAATTTTCTGAGTAAGAATTGTTTTTTCTTCTCTTTCCATTCGAAGGTCTATGCTTGTCTTTCTTAGATTTAGTTTTCTATTTTTTATTAGAGTTTTATCAATTCTTGGAGTCTTTTTTCCGTTTCCGTCCAAATTTTCCTTTTCTTTTTGGATTCGATTTGAAAATATTTGGGTTTTTCATACCAATTGCTGTAGCTATATCTTTCAGAATCATAGACGTATGTTGAACCCCCAGCTGCCACTCTGAACTACTAAAATTAGTCATACGATTAACTTACAGTCAAGGTCGAACCTTCATACTGACTGAATCATATATAACCGCTGTAACTCAGGCTATAAAAACATGTTTGTCCCAATAAGTTCGAACAGTAACAGTATAGTTTTTCGAAACATCACGTTATCTCGTTATCTCTCTCTCTTTCTCTCTCTCACTCTTTCTTTTTTTCTTGTAGTTTCCTCATTACTGAGGATCGTGATCTTCCAATATTCCTAACAATTTATCTTCATTGGTATCTAGCTTCAGCCGCTCTTAGAGCTTCGCAGAATGAGTTTCCAGCTGAATTCCAAATTTGGTCGGACCATCTAGTTGTGATCGTCCCCTTGATCTTCTCCCTGGAACGTTTCTAGAAACAAACATTAATCTCTGCAAACTATCCTCACCTCGGCGAACTACGTGACCAAAAAATGCATAATACGTTGCAGACATTGTGGACAGCCTTTTTTTAATCTCGAGTTGGTTTAGAATGGAAACGTTTGTCCTATTAGCTGCACCAGCACCACATCTCAAAGGCCTCAATTTGTTGGCGCTCGCGTCCGCAAAGAGTCCAAGTCTCTGCCTTGTATAGAAATATTGAGAATACAAGGGCATTCACCAGTCTCATAGTAGTTCAATACCAGGGGTTGATGATTGCTTCTACAGTCTGCGCCAGGATATGTTTAACAGTTTATGGCCAACTACTTCCATCTCGATCTTATTAGGATGTAGTCTATTTGATTTCTTGTTCGTCCATTTGGGCTGCGCCATGTGTATAATCACCGTGGATGATGTTGATAGAACGTGTTTGTAATTGTAAGATATTGTTATTATAGAACTCCACCAGACGGTTGCCATTCTCATTTCTCTGTCTCAATCGATTTTTGCTCAGCAGTACTTCAATATTTGTATTAGATGACCCTACTTTAGCGTTACATTTTGTTTGTAGAAGAGTATGTAGTAGAGAGAAATATAGTGACCCGTCTGCCCTCGGAAACCTAATAGCCATTCGGGGTCGAAAGAAACAAGAGTTAGCCAGGCTGATAGAAAAGATTAAAGACATTTCACCCAAGACTTGATGAAAAAGAGTAAAATGTGAAGGCTTTTATGATGCGTCAGGTGCGTTTCATAAGCGTATGGGTATTGCTACACTTTGTATTTCCACTCATACTTCGGGGTATTGACTACAGGTTGTATGGCTCGTTCAGCATGCTATAGCATGGACGATAGGGTGCACGCCATTTTACAATGTGGACATCTTAACTCCATGGCCTGACACATCCGAATTCCCATGAAATTTTTTTGCATAATAACTTTCCTAAGATAGCCCAAAATAAGGTTCAATAGGTCGCCCAAGCAAAAAGCAAATTTTTTTGTTACAATTTTTTTTAAACAAAATAACAAGACAATTTTTTGGCCCGGATAAATTGTTTTTATGTTTTTGGATCATTTTGAACAGAAAAGGTCTGTAGTAAGTTTCCTTTAAAGTTGATCTTTTTCGAGTTATAATTAATTTAAAACTGAAAAACAACGCAAAATGACGATTTTCAAGGCTCAAAAGTCAAAAACACAAGTAAAAAATATTATTTTTGAAATGATCAGGTGCCTATATTCAAGTTGAAACCTTCTTCTCTCGGCTCCCGATAAAAATTCTGGACTTATATTTTAGTCTTTTAATTGTTAATAAAGCGCACATGGCAGTGCGGGCGCTCAATTGTATAATAAGAATTCAAAATCGCAAACATTTATGCCATAGATCTTGTTTCTTTCTCTTATACACTCCGCGTCCCAAGCATCCGTCCTGTCATAAGCGCTTCATTAACGGTTAAAAAACAATGAATAGAATAAAATAAGCCCAAAATACTTAGCAGAAAACGATAGAACAAGGTTTGAACTTGCATTTAGGTCCTTGGCGAATTAAAAAATATTTTTTTACGTGTGTTTTTGAGGCTTGAAAATCGTAATTTTGCTCTTTTTTCTGTTTTTAATTACTCCTAACTCAAGTTTAGAAAAATTACAAGTTACCTACTTTGTTCAGAATAATCCACAAAAATTAAAAAAAAATTGCCGGAGTCGAAAAAATTGATTGTTACAATTAGTTTAAAAAAAGGCGTTTAAAAGAATTTTTAACTTTTCTTCTCTTAAACCTTATTTTGGGATATCTCATGAAAGTGATTATGCAGAAAAATCGCATGAAAATATTTTTCAAACAAACCCGTGCTTTTCACCTTGTTTAATGGGATTCAAACTTAATATTTTATGGAAGAAAAAGTAGCGAAAAATAATCAATAAGAAAAATAAAAATCATACATATAAAATAAGTAACTTGAGTATATCTTTAAATTCATAAAATTTCATTACGCTCATTTAAATTTGTCGTTTTTTATTAATTATTTAGGTAAAGGTATACAACAGTAGTCAAAATATTTTCCTTAAATCCCTATTAAAAGAACTAATATTAACAGTAAGATTATTAATGGAGCCTTTCTTCTACGTCTCATCCATCCTGTAGGAAATTACTTACATAAATAATTCCCTATTCATTTATCTATGACGCCACCACTGAAACTCATTGATCCTGTTATCCAGCGAACGTCGTCCTTCGTATCCTTATCGTTTAGTTATGAACATGGCGTCGTTTCCTTGACGTTCGAATGTTTCAATATGTCGTTCATTTATCAAAAATTGAATTAAAATATATTTAAAAAATATCTGTTAAAATACAAGCTTTCGGCCTATGCGAATTAGTTTGATTATTTTTTCTTAAACAAGACAGTGAACTTATGAACTTTGTGATATTAATCGGAGGTACTGCAGAGGTAGTGTTTATTTTTGGTGAGTTTGTTTAAATTTAGGCCCAATCTAACAGGTTTTAAATGTACAGGGCGGTAATTTTTTTAAGCTTATCAAATCCACAACTTGTAGTTGGGTTTTCGTTGAAGCGTATTGAAACGCGATGTTATGAACATTTGACAGTTATTACTATTCAATATTTATTTACACAGGATGTCCTAAAAATATAGTAGATCCTAAAGATATTAAACTACATACATAAAAAACACCAGATATTATAGTATAGTTTGTTATAAAATCTAGATTATTGTCATCTCATGTTTACAGTTATCAAAAATTTATATAAATTACATATATTAAAAAATTATACTAATTATTTTACTACACTTAGTAAATTTGTAGTATTGTTGTTAAATTCAGAAACCCGTTTAATTAAATCTAATTAAAGTATCTGTAAAGGTAAGATGTTTTCTGTCTGTATCTACAATACTATACAATAGATTTAACCTAAACATATAAATAAAATATTCCTCCTTACCAAGATAC